CTTTCCCTATTAATTACAGAATCATTTATTCCTTTTCATCATTCAGCAGCCAAGTGAGGGCCATCTTTTCACTTTGCCACTTACTGTGGTATAATAGTTTTCCAGGGCTTAGGAATGACCACTTGGCTTTCAGATTCTTAGTAGTCTCTTCTACAAGTACTGGTCAGTCCTGAAACACTTCTGTTTCTGAGATTAGACAAGCTTGGGTACATTTACTGTTGCATGGCTATAGTTCTTTGGTACTAATATGGTCCCTGTTATTACATTTTATACCCTACTAGTTCTTAGCATATCCATTCCTACTTTGGCTGTTCAAGGAGCAGATGTGCTGCTGATTATTATTTAACAGACAGGGAATTGAGGGATAGCAGTCTAAATGACAACTTTGTAAAGCTAGCTTTGCATTGTTTTACTGAGTGCTGCAAGGTCTAAGTGACCAAGATGGCAAACTCACATTCTCATTAATGACTTGAGCCCTGTGGCTTTCAATGAGACTTAGATTCCTTAAGTGCTTCGGTCACTTTTTGAAGGAGGACTTACATTACATAGACTTTGCGCAACTGACAGAATCAATGCATAAATACTTTTAAAATCTGGTCCTTTGTGATTTATCCATGATATATCAGGGGATAGTGGGGAAAGAACAGTGACTCAAATTCAGGTTTTCTCAATGCCAGGATATTGCCTTACTGATTGGTCCATTTTTTCTATGCTTCCACAGGGGTATTGTGCAGCCCCTACTAGTGTAGCATAGGAACATTTAAAATAATCAGTGAATTTATCCCTGGTAGTAAGCAAGTTACTCTGCTTAGGATCAGTAACTGAAGCACATGAAAATTAAGTGATTTGTTTCATTGAACTAGGGTTGCTTATATTATGGATCAGTTCCTTAAATTTAAGGCCCTCTTTTCTGTCTCTCATCAGAGCCCAGTGATTATTTTTTGATCTGTTTATAAAAAGACATTCATTTTAAAGATGAACTGTAAGACTTGGCTACAAGTTAACTTGCAAGGAAAAACTGTGGAAGCTGTCTCCTGACTGCAGACTAGAGGAGACTCTGAGGAATTGGTCATGAGAGGTACTACACCTGGTTAGCAAGGCCCTCTTCCCCCATGGAGTCCTCTCATTGGTTTAATCTCAAAGCACAGCATGCAAGTTAAGTGGAGAAACTGAGAGTGAGAGGAAGACCCAGGTCATGGGGGACCACAAGGACCTCACGCAGAAAACGGGGAAATAATGGGCAGTAACAGCTATTTCATACATTTCAGTAAAGGAACCAGCAAAAATATGTTGGGGTTTTTTAGGACCTTCAATAAAGCATAATTAATTGTTGTTGACGCTAGGTATTCAACTGTCCACTCTTTTTGGACTTAAAAAAATGTTATACATTATATATTAATTATATATAGATAGCTATAGATATAAATATAGATATTTATATATGGATATGTCTATATCTATATTTATATATAGATATGTAGATATATATAATTTTATACTCACCTTTACAAAGTTCTAAATACACACTGGTGCAACATCTGGTCTTCATTTTGGTCTCACTATATTTTTCAGTACAGATGGTGAGGACAAAGTTGCCATGCTTCTGGGCCATAATTATAATGCACTATTCAGGCAGACTCCAGATTAAGGGAAGGTACAAACCACATGGAGGGAAGTAAATATTGTTCAGGTGATGAAACATGTTTTCCACTGAGCACCACTATAACTTGCTTTTACCCATACCAGAAATAGGAACAAAATAAATTAGTGTTCAGTTTCTCAGTATTAGCATTGCATTAACCTACTAAAAAAAATCCCCAAATTAAGTTTGAATTCTTAAATGTAACCCTGCCTTCTGGAACACAGGCCATTAAAAAACAGTTTCTCTTGAAGTCATGTCAGATAATGCAAGCCAGTGTGTAATGCACAGATAATTACTTCTGATAGACTCCTTACATATAGCACCTATCATTAGCCTAACCAGACATATATGCTCTTTCTCTAGCACCTCATCCATCCTTTATCTGAATTACGTTTTACTATATTTGAAAAATGTCCTTTATGGCCATATAAGGTCCTCGTTATGCATAGTAAAACAAATAAGTTGTATTGCTGAAAGATATATGAAAGTCTCTTTTAACATAATGTATCTTTAAAATAAGAGAACATGAAATCAGGTCAATGCTCTCAAATTTGGGAGATGTAGCACAAATGTAGCAAATTGAAATACTGTAGTTACAAACTACTTTGACTTGAACTTTTAGTAATGCCTTCTTTAATGCCTATTGTTGTATCATATAAGAACAGGCTTTCCAGGACAGATGTCTGGTGCACAGGCTGTTACAGCAGCAGTTTCCTAAAGTTTGAGACCACTGTTAAGACATGGAGGGCTAGCTCTGATACTGAGACCATTCATCTTGGTATTTATGTGTTTTGGATTTGAATCTACAGGGCACTTCAGTGGACCTCAGCTAGTGGTGAAGTGCTAAGAAAGGGGGTGGAGGAAGGGCCAGAAAGGATGTGTAAAAATCCAGTACCAAGAAGGACCGTAAGTATACACATAGGGTGCATCATGATGAGCATGTATATGCAGGGGCATGCATTTCCTATGAGACAAATAGCAACAGCACGTATTTGTCCCATGGGAAATGCATGACAAATAGTGTTTCCCACAGGACAAAGCAGCAGCCCCTGCACGTGCACTCCAGTGTGTGGAAAACTGATCTGGGTGGGGTAGGGGAAGCTGAGGCCAGTGCCTGTACTGGCCCCAGTAGCCTTATCCTGAGGGCCTCCTGGAGCAGCAGCAGCATCAAGCTGCCTGCTCAGAGCCTGGCCAGCAACCAGAGCATGACTGGCTGACCAGGATCCATTTCTGGTGGTGCACCCTGTTGCCTCATGCACCACGCTGCTTTTTTTTCAGCAGCATGTTTTAAGACACCAGAATCTCCCAGTGTCAAAAAACCCCTGCTGCTCTGCAAAAACCACATGTGCTTGTCAGAATGCATCCTTAGGGTCCTTCCTAATAAAACACTTCATTTTAAGCTTGTGAGTAATTTTGATTTTAAATTAAGCTAATTAAGTGCTGCTTTTATATTTCAAACCATACTATATCCAAGATGTCCTGTTGTCCACCCTCCAACCCTCCCCTCAAAAAATTAAAAGCAAAATCTTCTAGTTTTGAAATTGTTGAATGCCTATAGTCATTTCTGCTCAGGGCAAAAGATGGCAAAAAGTAATGTGTGGTAACCATTTCTGATGTGAGCATTTAAACTTGCTCTGGACATTGCAGTTATCAGGGTAGGAAAAAAATGTACAACTTGTATGCATGCAAAAACACGTGAGGTGTCAGGCTAAATATTATTCACCAAATGACACTATATTTCAAAACACTTGGAAAAAGAGTTGGTGGTAGGTTGAAAGAGACTGTCACCATGGCACACTATGTATCACAGAGGACAAAATTCAAATCCAATATTCAAAAGCCAATCTGTGTGAAAAAGGGAGACGCACAGAAAAAATAAGTATGGATTGGTCCAGAAGTAGTAAAATGAGAAGCTGACATTGAAATACAGGAAGCCAAATGAACACACACCCATTCAGAACTGCTGAGGTCTAGAAGTACAGCTAATAGAGAAAAAGAGATCTTTCTAAGTTTATGACCAATGCCTCTTGAATACTTTGATGCTAAGGGAAACATTACAAAACTGATACTGTGAAGAAGTTACTAGAAGCCAAATGGAAGCATCAGTGTCGTGGTCCAAAGAATAAAATCAAAACTTTAAACACCAGAAGACAGGAAAGAATATTAGAAAGAATTTGGGGAAACCAAATTGATGAATTTCCAAAAAGGTTTGAG